TGCCTAGGGTTGTAGCTCAGTCATAACAGCAAAAAGGATTTTCAGAATTTATTGACAGACTCTGTCACTCGATATCTTTTTCTGTTCTTTACCACCATCTAGTTTAATGTCATTTTATCCAATCTATTCCATTTACTTAACATCTAGTTTTAATGTCCTTTTATACCCAAATGGTCAAATTGCTAATCTCATCTTATTATGTGGAAGGAACAAGGAATATTATTTTAAATGGCATGTTTCTCTTCATTTGGAATAAAAAGGACTTGAAATAGATTAGGTTGAAATTTCTCTTCATGTTACATGTGCAAGAGTATGATGAGAAGATGTGCATCCTCTTGAATTTCAGAGCCCAGGACAAGGCAGCCATGCAGTTGAGTGAGTTGGAAGAGGAAATGGATCAGAGGATTCAGGCTGCAGAACACAAGACGCGGAAAGATGTGAGTATGTGGTATTCGTTCGTTCAGTGAATTTTTATAGAGCAACTTGGGATCATCCTTAGTTTGACCTATAAAAATGGCCTGAGTACTGGACATCCTTTGGGTGCAGCAAGCCCAAGCTCTCACAGGAGCTCTCGATGAGGGTGCTATTGGTGGTTTCCGGGGGCGGGTAGGAGAGAGAGAGAATAAACAAGTAATCAAATAAATAAAGCAGGTAATTTCAGATAGCAACAAGTGCAGTAAAGAAACAGTATGTGTGATAGACAGTGACTGGGAGAAATGGCTGTTTCAGGTTGGGAGGTCAGGGGCCTCTTGGTGGAGGTGACATGAGAGTTGAGGCCTGAGTGAGAAGGCAGAGCCAGCCTTCCGTAGAGGGGGGTGTCTCGAGTGTCACATACCACTCACTGTCTCACTGCTCGTGTTCACTGTCAATTTTAAATATAGATTACAGTGAAATTAAAATTATCTCTGCAAGCTTTGTTGTTTCATATGGCATATGTAATTATAAATAAAGGTATACATGGAATATACTTCTATTCATTGTTATAGAAACTCATAGTAAAAGTTGGGTGCTGCTTTCAGTGATTTCTGTAAAAGAAATAATTGTCTTTTTTTTTCCTTATAAAATATATTCAGGTGATTAATATTTACTAGAAACAGAAAATAGACATATTTCTTTGCGTAGCTAGTGTTAGGTTTTTAAACATTCCATTTTTTTTTCTATTCCTTTGTCCTGTTAACCCTGAGAGGCAGCAAAATAGAATGAGAAGGGCCTGAGTGTTGACCTCCGATGGACCTTAGTTTGCTTCCTGGATCTCCCCTTGTTTAGTTTTGGTGGCACTAGAAAAATGCCCTAACTCTGAGTCTTTATTGTTCCATCTTTAGAATGGAATAATGCCACTTACCCGCTTTAATGGGGACTAAGCCTAGTGATCTATATGAGTGCCCAGTGCAGTGCCTGAGGTGTTTTGGGTGCATCCTGGCCGTGGCCCTGTTGCTTTTTTCTGTTGCTCTGTGTACTTTTTAAAATTTTTAAAAAAATTATAGTTGACATACTGTTCTGTGTATTTTGTGTCTTCAGATTCTTCATCTTATTTTACCACATATACGCCTTTGGGCTCTTTGTTGTCTTATCTCTTAATAACAACTTTAATAACTACTTGGATGTCACATGCAACAGAATGAATGGTTCAGAGCCCATGAACCAGCTTTAGTGCGATTGATATCCTGTTCTTCTGTTAGCACTTTATTTTTGTAGTCTAGAAACAGTAGTCATTTTTTTCTGTCCTTTTTCTCTCCATTTATTTAATCTGTACACTCATTCATTCATCAAGATTTACCAAGCACAGGTGTTATTCTGTCATCAAGTCTCATTGCTTCTTCCAGCTAAGTACTTTCCAAATTTGTTATTGTTAATGAAGACCTTATAACTTCATGTTTTGTTAATTATAACATATTCCTTGGTTTCCTTGGCTCTGGTACACTGGTGGAAAATATATGGCCTCTGCAGCATCATTTTCTGTACTCTATAGCAATGGCATACAAGGCCAGTCAGTCACTGCTTGGATGTGGTCTCTGAAACTTCAGCATGCCACTGCCAACTGAGCAGTTTTGGCACTGGGATGACACCTATGGGCTAGCCCATCCTACTGTCCATCACACACCCTTTTAGACAGTCTCGCTGGAATAACACATCCAGTCTAATTGACATTCTTCTCTGTGCATAGAAATTTTCAGATGATGTAATTGGTATTCAGATAAGGTATGAGCTCTTGGAAAAGGGGTAAACCAACCAGGCCTTCCTGGGTCCTGGTGATAAGATTTAGGTAAGAACTGGAGCCCTTGGCTGTGCCATATCCTTCACTTAATTATAGTGATAATTAAACTAGCTAATTGATGTGCTATGTACGACCCTCTATCGCAATCTGGGTAATAGTCTTAGAGGTACCAGTCCCGGTGATATGTATATATAGCTTGTAGCATTTTGCAGTTCTTTCACTTTTATAGGTTTCAATTCCAGGCGTGCCATACATCTATAGTTATGTGATTTACTTCCGTCCTCCCTTCTCGCCATACCTTTGTAAGAGACTTGGGATCATCCTTAGTTTGACACAAAATGTTTCTCTATGGGGTTTTGAAGAACCTCTTTAAATCAACAAAAAATTTTTTTCTTTTAGGAAAAACGCAAAGCCGAGGAAGCCCTCAGTGATCTCAAACGTCAGTATGAAACAGAAGTAGGAGATCTACAGGTGACAATAAAAAAACTCAAAAAGGTAGGTATGTGGCAGCTAGACTTCTAGGGATGGCCTCAGGATAATAGTGTATCTGAGCTATTAGCCACAAAAAACATTTGGAATCACATCAAAGCAGCAAATGGAATCAAATTTCAGAGTCAGATCGGACTCCTTGGCAAGACCTTTTTTAAGGGTCCCTGATTTTCTTTTCTGTTTCCAAAGACAACCTGTCTTCCATAAATCTAATAAATATGTCTGATCCCTTGAACAGTTGTCCATCAAATCTCAGTTTTCTTTCCTTAGTTTTTCACCAACAAGGTGCCCTGAATTCCTGTATGTCCAGTGGACTGTGTGCTCATGACAGTAGGGAACTGTGTTTCTTGGTCATGTATCCTTGAATCCCTACTCCGAGCTTACTGTAAGGTACATAGTAGGTATCCAGTGAACAGTAAATGAAATGAATATTCCTCTTCTATGTAGAAAGATCCAGATCTAGGGGACTCTGACAGCAAGTGGTGGGAGAGAACTTGAAGTGTGAGCAAAGAGGTGTGAATAGGTTTGGCCTTTGCCCTATTTTGTTCATGATGAGTAGGGTGCATTTCACTCAGTATTGTGCTGGTAGATGCTTTAAAACGGCTTTGGAGAGGAAAGTGGGGAAAGGAGAGATTTGCAGCATTTGCCAATTTCCATGGTATAAACACTACCACCGTTACTGATTTCCAGCTACCAAGTTGACATCACTGAATGCACAGTCTGGGAAGAGATGCTTAAAATAGGCTCTCACCTGCCAGGACTAGCTGGTGCCAGCAGAGTACTGGATCCACTGTTTGCATGTGGGTGGTCTCCATAACTAATGGAAACATTGTGCCTAAAATTCAAATGAGTACTTAAAAAATAATTGTTTCTGAAAGTGGCATTGTGAATTTGGGCATAGCACTTTGCTTTTCTGGTTATTCATGTGCTAACCTTTAATGCTCCATCTAGTGTTTATATTCAGTGAGATGAAGTGATGATTAACTGTATTTTGTGAGCTATTGTAATATGAATCTCTAGAATTACTAAGAATTCTCCTCAGTAGCCTTAAAAAATGTACTAGCAATGTCAACCTTATATTGAATTTCCAAAGGTCATTAGACTGTGCATATGATGCAAGTGTTACAGAACTCGAAAGGACCTATCCCCCGTTTATGCTAGAGTCACAGGTTCTCCTAGTCACCGTCCTCACATATTTCTATGTCTTCCCAAATCTTTAGACAAAAAGAACGTATGTAAGAAGCAACAGGTTCTTGCCCTGATACAGCATGTGATGAAGACCAGATAGACACTGAACAGTGAGTCAGGAGTGATGAGGCCTGAGTCCTTACCAAGACTGTGCCAATTTCTGCCTGTAACACCAGGGACAACTGGCTTCATCTTTCTGATTTTTAGTTTCTAACACGAAAATGTTATTAATTATAAAAGTGTCCTGCCTAACCACAAAAACTGATATTTTTTTGACTTTATAGTTTATTAAGCTCTTTTTCATGATTTAAAAGATCTAAATCTTAAACTTTAAAAAAAAAGTATAAATATCCTACTTTTATAGATGAAAATACTGAGTTCCAGAGAGGTTAAATAACTTATTCAAAGTCACACAGCTAATAAGCAATGGAATTGTCCTACACTACGTAGTTTGTGCTTTCTCTCTTATACCAGACTTCCTGCCTGAGTAGTGGGGCTGTTCTACAAAAGAATAAGAGATGACTTATGTGAGAATATGTTAAAGGCTCTAAAGAACTATAGAAAAGTTTGCAAAGTTATTATGATTGCCATTACCTTATGCCATTGATTCTGAGAAACTCACTTTGCCCCCAGTTTTTCTTCTCTGAAATTGGCATGTATTTTGAAATCAGTGGCTCTTTTCAGTTACAGTCAGCCACGTGACAGTCATAGCATAGTTGCTTGAAAATCTTCAGTTGGTGCCATCTGTCAAGATGAAGAAAGTCCAGTGTCAAAATACTTAGATTTGATGAAATAAGGCATACATTTTGATCAATGCATAGATCCTCAATTAATGGACACCCACAAATCCCCACATTTCCCACGGGATGTCAGGAAAGACATTTTTGTTGTGTTATAGATGCTCGTGAGCCAATTTAGTCTGGAAATACTAACAAGTCAACCAGCAAGTAAAGCTCATGTACATATGTATATAATTTTATGTGCATGTATCTCTAGCTTCATATCATACTTAAATTCTGTTGATTTCAGTCATTTAATAAATATTTCTAGAAATTACCTTGAAGAAAACAGAGGTGATTCTGACACTAATTCTGCTCTTAAAAATCTTAGAGTCTAGAAGGAGAAGTAGGACATTCACAAATACAGGATGGAAAATGCCAAGTGCAGAGAAAGTTCTAAGTGACTGTAAAGGTCAGACTCACATGCGATGTAACTGAGAAAGCAAGAATTGGGCTGCTTAATTGTTGAATGGTTTCTGGAAAAGGCTTTTCAATTGTTTTCAAAGAATGATGTAACTGAGAAAGCAAAGATTGGGCTGCTTAATTGTTGAATGGTTTCTGAAAAAGGCTTTTCAATTGTTTTCAAAGAAAATTTATTAAACAAACAAACAAAAAACCCCTCTTTTCAAATGTTTAAATTTTTCGAAGTAAATTTTTAAATCTTTATGAATTGATTATATTTAGTTTAATGATTTCCAAAGTCATATAATGTTGAAAATTGAAGACTTCTAGAATTCCCATTTCTATATGTCAAGGATATTCCTAATCTTAACTGAATCGATCAAAGTAAGTTTTTAAACACAACTTTTATTTGTTCTTTCAGCTAGAAGAACAGTCGAAACACATAAGTCAGAAAGAGGATGTGGCTGCATTAAAAAAACAAATCTATGATTTATCAATGGTAAGAATCACCTTTTCATTTACAGAAATACATTTCTTGTTAGACTGCTAAACAGTCATGCTATTATTTTAGTGTTCCAGGAATAGAAGCTTAAAGAGAAATTAAAGCTTAAAGATAAATTAATACTCTAGTTGGAGAAAGTCTTTGAAGTACCTTCAACCAAAGGTATCATTTATGCAGGCTTCTTTCCTCAGTGATACCCCACCTATTGCGAATGCTTACATTTATTTTTTATTCAAAGAAATAGTAGCATGGCCATTAAACTTTCAGTAGTTAACTCTGCATTCTTGTCACATCAAGTCTGGTTTGTATCCTGGCTTTGTAAGATGAGACATTATTGCCCTGCCCTTCCTCTAGCTTTCCTCTTTCTGTTCCTTTTCCATCTTCTGCTAACCATATCTTTAGTTTTTCTAGTGCCAGTAGAGATAACATTTACATAGATTTTATTATCATCAGGTTTTCTTTATTTTGTATTTAGGTTTGACTCTGAAAGTTAAAAGCCAATAATGAACATTTCTTTTATTATGACTCTTCTCACTGTGGAGCCAAGAAGTAGGTTAGCATGAGCTAGAATTGCATTTCTTTCTCTCCAGCCATTTTCCCTGTGCCATTCAAAAGAGAAGGCTCCTAGCCTCGTGGTCAAATATAGCCCTTTTCTGTACCACCAGTTCCATATTTTGCCACATCTTAGTTGGCTTTGTATTTAGATCATGACTTTCTTGTAGAGTTGCTTGTTTTTCTTGGATTTCTTGGTTAAATTTTTGGTTTCTTGTTGTAAAAAGAAACTCTGCCATCTTCATGATATCACCAATATCTTGTAACTTCTTATTTATTCTTCCCAATGCATGGAATTTATTTTTTTTCTGCTCAAAAATATTGATTCTGGAGTCCATGAAGTTTCAGTTCTTATTGGACTTTGTTTTTTAAACTTGCTTCCCATTTGTCATCTTGGAATTTCTTTTCATTTTAGGTATCTGGTGTAGGTAGGATTCCTGTGCAGCTAGGTAAATAGATCTGTTTACCTCGAAATTTCTCCTTTGAGAAAGGGAGGACCCTAGGAGTTCTGTGTGAAGCCGGCTGTCAGACTGGGGGACATGGATCTTAGAAGCTTTAGCTTTCTTTGTAGGAGTCAGTCATTTCTTTTTAAAAAGACAAGCCCTGTCTTGTTGCACTTGAAGTGACTCTGGTTGTCTGCTTTTCCTTCCTAGAGTAGGAGCAGGCATGGGCTTGAGGGGCTGGGTGACTTAATGTACAGATTTAATCTCTGTTTTCAGCTTCACTCTCACGCTGGGTTTTTGCCTGGACAATGCCCTTTCTTTGTTCTACAGAAGATCCTTCAACACACATCTTCTGGATCTCCTTTTCTCTTGTTCTCTTCCTTTTGTCAGCACATTTCCATCATCTAGAAATGTTTAAATCACTTGACTGCAGATGGGCCCCTATTCCATTCTTTTAATTTTTATTGCTTTATTTTATTTCTTTTGCTATTTCATGTTAATGAGGTCTCAAGAGGAAGGAAGATGAATTCACCATCTTGAACTGGAAGCTGTCAATGAATTTTTTTTTTAGAAAAGTGCTTAGATAAATTCTTAAAGATTTAAAAATTCTTTAAGAATCCTTAGAAAATTCTAATTCCCTTAGAATTTCTTTAAAAATATGATGTGTGCTTTTAATTTTTTTAAACAAAAATTTTTAAAGAAATTTCCCAACTACAGTGGTTTATTTTTAAGTGCAAAACTTAAAAATGTTAGGTGATAGGATTTATTGTAAAAAGTAGCCAGTCTGTCTGGTAACGGGTACTATTTATTCCATAGACTTATCAGTAGTTTCATAGTTCTCATTAAGTAAAACAGATGTTTAAATATTTGGTCTAAGTTAATTTGCCAATAACATGTCAACATAATAATAAACTTGAGTACTAGAGTTTGGCACTGAATGTCAAGTATTTTTTAAAAAAAAGAACAATTTTGAAGAATTAGATTTTTGACACTTTAATACTTTATGATAATTTCAAATTACCTTGAATCGATAATTATTTCTTTGAGTACCAAGATTTGAAGAATTGTGGTGGGGCGAGAGTGATATATGGCAGAGTTTCACTGTACTTGACTTCATTTCTCCCATGTGGAAGAAACTCTGAATTTAATGACCTGCAACCTTCTTTGTCTCTAGGAAAATCAGAAAGTTAAGAAAGATCTTTTAGAAGCACAGACAAACATAGCCTTTCTTCAGAGTGAATTAGATTCTTTGAAAAGTGATTATGCTGATCAGAGTCTGAATTCTGAAAGGTATGAAACTTCATACTTTATTTTTCAGTTTGAGTGGAATGTTTATTTGGGTAACCACCCATGGGAATAAAACTCAGCTATGTAATAATAAAGGCTTATTTATTAACTTTACTAATACATTCTTCGCTTTCTAAGGATTTTGCTTTCAGTGTCAGATTGCCTAGTGATGTGTCTTTTTAATTTTTTTAAACGCAATAATTTAATAATTAATTAAATTATTGACAAGGTAGGACAGTGCAGGGGTTAATAAATGTTTGAATTAACTGGGAGCAGAAGAATATACCTGAAGTGTCAAGTGTCAGTGCTAATAAAAGTGCTTTGAAGGTAGAAATCCTGGCCCTGCAACACAAGAAAAGGGAAAAATAGACATCTTAGGCAAGTGATTTTATTGTGCTATGTTTCAGTTTTGCAGTATGGTGTTAATAATGTAAGACCTAACACACATGCAGGCATGTACTTATATATATATATACACACACATGGGTGTATGTATATGTAAAAATGAATATATGTAAATATAAAATATATATGCGCACACATATTTGCATGTAAATGTACATATATTGTACACTCACATATGTACTTGGGAAAATATCTTGCTTTTTGTTTGTTGGTTTACAAACTTTATTCAGAGTCAAGGTCCTGTAATGGAAAACAGTGAAACATTTGTTAAGTACTCAGAATATACAAGTCTCTGAGCTAAATAAGGAGTTATTAGTGTGGCGTACATAGAAAAGAAAACGTGGACTCTGCTCTTTCAGAATTTCAAATTTAGTCGAAGAAGACAGAAAGCTAAAAGATTTCAGAGTTGACATAAGAACTGAACCATGTCAGACACAACATGACCAGCAATGTCACAGGTCGAGTTCATTGCCATGTGATGGTAGACAGTGCGTTCTTTTAGTTCAGAAGAGGTGAAGAACTTTACTAAAGAGGAGGCACTTGAGGTGGCCGTGGGAGGAGGGGTGGGTTTATTTATGTTGGTCAGGAGGAGCAGAGGTAACATCAGCACGTACTTAGTACTTTACTAGTATTAACTCATTCAGCCCAGAGAATATTCTGTGAGATAGGGATTTTTCTTATCCCCATTTCACAGATGGGAAAAGAGAGTCCAGAGATGTTCCAGGTGAGGGAGTAACCAAAAAAGGGGTAAGAACATAGAGGTAGATAAGACTAGTTTGGGGCACAGTGGCCAGACCACTGGAAAGAAAAAAGACATTTTGATTGGAAAGGTAAAACTTAAAAAAAATTAAAAAGTTTAAAAGCTAGTTTAAGGCTACACTGTAAGGGCCAAAAATTTTTGGCTAAGGAACTTAAATTCCTATAGACAATTGTGAAGTCTTTGGCCTTATCAAGAGAGCAAATAAATAGATTATCGTGGACAAAGTTTGATAGCCTGAGAGCTGTGGAAGCTAGTGATGGGGTTTGTATGCTTAGAGATGGGGCTGAGGTAGAATAGGGGCTGGAGGTCAGTGGCTAATATTCAGAGTGGACATTTAGAGAAGGAGGCCAGGGCTTCGTAATAAAACCACAGAGGTGTGTGTCTGTTCACAGCCAGTGGAGAAAGCCTGGTCTTGTGGGTTCTTGTGGTTCAGGGTGAGGAGGGAGGGAGGCCAGGAGTAGGGGCAGTGCAAGGAGAGGGGAAGGAATCAGAAGAAAGGAGAAAATGGCTGGGGTTAGGATTGTGTAAGGCTTGGAATTAGTAGAGAAGAGTCAGAAGAGAGAGCAAATTGGATAGAAGGGATTGGTAATGTGAAGGCCTGGGGGGAGGGGACTTAGCAGAAGGTCAGTGGTTCATTCTCAGTGAAGAACAGAGCAAGGTCAGTGAGGTGGGGATGGAAGACCTTGTGGTTGCTGAGAGGGAGATGAGGTGGAGCAGAACGTCACACAAGGAGGCAGAGAGTATGGCTGTGCTTGTGGAGTCCCAGAAAGAGAAGAGGCTGCTGATAGCACAGAGGAACCAAACTGGAGCACGAGTGAGATAGAAACTGTGGTCAAGAGCACAGGTCTTTGAAAAGGAAAAAGAATCTGGGAGGATATGTATGGGTAAGGCAGGACTGAACACCTAATTCTCATTCAAACATAAAATATAATTTTTCAGGGATCTGGAAATAATCCGAGAGTACACAGAAGATCGAAATAGTCTTGAGAGGCAAATTGAAATACTCCAGTAAGTTTTCAGATAAAATGCTCATTACATTTACATTTTACTTATTTTTTCGTTAATAAAACGTGTGCCACATGAAACATGAGGTGCTGTATTCTAAAGACCTAGTTCGCAGGTCCACGCCTGTTTCTTCTCACTGTGCTGCATTTAGCATATCCACTTAGCTCTCTGACATTTCTAATCCTAAATAACCTGTTCAACCCAAGGGCTAGAGTGTAATTCTCTAGAAGTCCTCAGAAGTCAGGTGATATGTCCAATGCGTCTTTATTATACTTGTAAAGAGTAATGGCCCTAACTCTAATGGCTCTATGGCTCAGCACACTGAGAGGGTATCAGGCCTCTCATGGTAGTGCATGTCACAACACCAGGCCCACATGATCATTCTTTTGCAATTTATTGTGCTTGGTTAGAGATAAATTTTTCTTAGTTTTTTTTTATTTTTTATTTTTTTTATTTTTACCCTATTGGAAATATTATACCTGCTTTGTCAACTTCACAACTGAGTTGCAGTAACTCCGGCCTCTGAGGCCCTTCCCCACAAAACTTCCCCTCTCCCTCCCTTCGTTTTCTACCCATGCCGTATTTTCTGTCGGTTGCACTTCCCCCAAATGAAGTAGATCAGGCTTGACAAGTTTTTTTTTCACAATTTTTGCATGCTTTTTAAGTTCTCATCTATGGCAATTATAGAGTTGATGTATTATCATAATTTTGTTCATTTATTCATTCATTCAGCACATTTTCACTCAGTACCTTTTATGGGTCAGGGCTGCTGAAAGCTGAAGATAGAGTGGTAAGCGGGAGAAAAAGGTCTCTCTCCTCATGGGGATAGTCTAGAAGAAGACGGAAACTCATCGATAATTATAGAAATAAATATAAAATGCCAATGAGAGAGGTAGGACAAAGGGAAGGGATGTGTCTTCCAAGAGCATACAGTAGAGAGCTTTGGCTGAGCCAGAAAGGTCAGGAAGTGTTCCCAGCGGAAGCAAAGAGTGAGCCGAGGTCAAAGGATGAATAAGCCTCAAGTAAGTAAAGATTAGCTTCTCTCTAAGGCAGAGGCTGTGTTGTTAACCTCACTTTATAGTAGTAGTTGCTGAGGCTCTGGCAGGTTAAATAACTCCTGTAAGTCATGTGGAAAAGACATGCCTGAGTTGGGATTTGAACCCAGAGTCATCTTTGGAGCTTTAATTGGTACATGGCAATACCTGGTGGAATAGTACCAGGCCAGGAGTAAGATACGGGAGTAGCCAGGAGAAAAGTGTGGTATAATATAGCACATCCACAGCCTGGCTGGGGTGTGTGTGCAGGGGCATAGAGCGTGGTGTGTGGGGCTGGCTGGGTCTAGGCATTGAGGGAGCAGACACTTGCACAAAACTTATTCAAACGAAGGAACTACCCGAAGAAAGAGTGGTTCCACAGCACAGCCGATTCCTCCCTAAAATGCCTTGAGACCTTTAAAGAGAGGTGATAGATTCATTAAGTTGTAGTTCTAGTAATGAATTATGATCTCAGTTTATGAGGTGTGAAGGGAAGTGGTAGAAAGTTGCAAGAGCTAAGTAATTTCACATTCTGTACATCATAGCCTGAAAAGAAAGTGGTGACATTTATCTCCACCAATACTTTTCTGTATCGATTTACTTATTAAGTTTATTTACTCTGTAGAACGGCCAACAGGAAACTGCACGACAGTAATGACGGCCTGAGGAGTGCCCTCGAAAACACTTTCAGCAAGTTCAACAGGTCCTTGGTATGCAATAGAGTTTTATAATACATTTCGTTCTGTCTTGCAGTAAAGTATTTTGATGAAAATTTTGTATTTAGAGGAGAACTTAGAATCATGTGATAATATAAAAAAAATAATATAAGTAAATATAATAAAAAGAGGTCACATTTTCTCTGATTAAAACGAATGTGCTACCCCACTGAGGACGTACATGCCTTTGTTAGACATGCTAGGAAACCAGAAAAAGAAGTAAAGTTTGACTTGGGTCCTGGATGTGTTTATAATGGAGAGGGTATTAGATAGGCACAGATAGCAATAATATAAGAAAAAGTGAGCAAGCCTGTGGAGGTACAAATGAAATATTGCCCAGTTTAGAGGAGGGAGAGGGTGCTTCTGGCTAAGGAGTGTGTTTATACATATCGAGTATTTTTTATGGTAGTGAGATTATCAGAGTGGAGGCCTTAGATTCAAAACCCTCCTACAGAAACAAGCCAAACATTTGGAATTTTGAAGACTTTCCCCAGACTGTGTGTGCTAGAAAGCCTCTTCTCCCACTTTTGGGGGTCATCATCAAGTTTGGAGTTCCAGTGCCATAGTTTTGGGTATAGACAGATCAGTCACTAAGCCAGATTATGGTTTGAGAAGAGACAAATCAAAGTTGGTATTGCACAGTCCTGGCAGATTGGGGAATCGGGTGACCCTTTATGGCTTATGCAGTAGGGTTTGGACTTAGGACACAATGAGGAGAAAGTACTATAGTCTGTCGCCATTTTCTGGGCTCACATTTGTTCATGTAGGATACCAAACTTTTAATTACATTAGGAGTTAACTAGTGTGCTACAGTTTTAATAAACATATAAATGTATATAATGTTTACATGGAATAACAAAACGTTACTTATGTATTACAGCGTATAAATAATATATCACCAGGGAATACAATTTCTAGGAGCAGTCCCAAATTTAATGGTCATTCTCCTCAACTTCTGGGCTATGACAGGTATGTTAATACCTACTTACTTTTTGTTTGAATTCTGGATTGAAGTTAAAAGGATAGTAAATTTCCTTAGAGGTAAATTAAAATAATAAAATCTATTTTGGGCACTCATTTCTATTTCTGCTCTTACTTTAAGTTTCTGAAACATGACATATGTAAAAATTAAAGTAAAAATGTTTCAGAGAGGGCAAAGTGATTTCCTTAAGACGCCATCATGACTTGGTTTTATGTATGCTCTCCTTTACCTCATCCCTAATCGTGTCTTGTTTCTTAGAAGTAGACTCAGTAAGAGGAGTTTGTTGTTTCAGGGAAACAAGTTGAACTATAGTCTGCGACGTTGAGACTTGTCATAATCAGTAAATGTTTAATAGCTTAGCATAATATTATGTAAGCTATGTTCAAGGAAAAGAAAACTTTCAAAACAAAGAGAAATATAGCTAGTAAATATTTACGAGCTAATGTATTAATGGAGTCACAGAGGCTTACCCGAAGTGGAAATTTAGCTCTGTTTTTAATCAAATGAAGTGAAACATTGGCCCCACCGTCACTTGAAATTCAGCAATAAAAATGGAAAGATTATGTGTATGTATACATGTACGTACATAGAGCTATGTCCAGTGTTGCTGCTTAAGTTACTTTTGGAGTATGTCAAAGTGTGAAAGTAGAAGTGGGTGCACAGACTACAGGTTTCCAGCTCTCCATTTCTGGTGTGGCTTTCCAATTCATGTTCATTCCCTTTTTATTTAGTAACCTTTGGTCCAAAGATTACTGTACTTAATATCTTGGTGATAGCAAAATGGTGCCCTTTCAGGAAGGTGTGTTTATCAAGGCTTACTGGTGGTGATCACTTTTAAGAAAATTCTGTCCACATTATCAGATGTTTTTATTGTTCACTGATTAGTGAAATAAAATTTTTTAATGGCTTATCGATTTATAGACAGCTGGCTCCTCTGTTCTTGGGAAATGGAGATTACATTTTTTAAAATATGTGGATGTGATGCCATTTTTCTGGACTGAGATTTAAGGTCAATTCTAAGTATACAGGGGCAGAGTATATATATTACTGAAAATTATTTCAGAAATTTCACCATGATTCATTTTTGAAAAGAGTAGACACTATAAATAAGGCTCATCAGTACTGGACTAACAGTTTCTCAACACCAGAGACAAAATCATCACATCCCAGGGGCTCAGAGTAACAGGAACATGTCATTGTGTGCTCAGCACGAGCAGTAACTACAGGAGACACCGTGGTCCATACTGATTTTCCTTTTTGGAGTGTCATTAGTTTGATATGAGAAGTTAACACTTTATTTTCTTCTGGATGCTAATAGGAAAAAAACTTAAAAACTTATTGGAAATTTAATTTTATTGCTTGTGTGCTCTTATTAGATTTTAACTTGCATATTTGTTTTAGTTTTGTGTTTTTTTCTAAGAACTCTAACAAAAATGTAACTTGTTTTATATTTTTACATATTTAATTGCAATGAAAATGTTCTTTGGATAGGTAAGAATAGTTTACTTTTAAAAGGGTATGTATGTAAATTGAGTTTGAGAAAATCTGATCTGTACCTATAGGTTTAACTTAGAGTCTAGCTATTCATGGAAGTGATTTCTCAATTTGTGGTTTTACTTCTACTTCACTCCTTTTCAAAAATACAAATAGATTAAAAATAAAATTCTGACCAATCATAACTTGAGATGAAGTAGTTTGTACTATATTATAGTGAGACTGGTTTCCTTAGGTTCCTTACAGATCGACCTAACATCAATTTCAGAAGGAGAGTTTCAGAAATAATGAAACAACGAAAAACTTACACACACTCACACACACACACACACACACAGACCCCCTACCCCTTGCTGTCTAGTAGATTGAGATTTGGTATGAGGTTCCTGTCCCAGGATAAAGACTTCATAATTGAACAACATATTTAGAGAGAGTATGGTGGTTAAATCATCTTTTCCCTTAATTTTAAACATTTGCTAAAGGCACCAAAATGTTTTGACTTCTCAGACTTATATGGCTTAATTTTTTTATTTTAAGATCACCCTGTCTTTTCTAAGGATATCCATCTCTTATTATTTCTTGTATCTGGAGACTCATGTACTTTGCCCATTCTTCCTTTCTGATGAGATTGTGTATGTATGCCAACCACTGTGTGTGCCCAGTATGTAGTGGGGACTAAATAACTTGACCTTTTTCACCATGTTGATTAGAAATATGACTCCCAGAAAGTTCGCCCTTATTTTGTCTTGGGCAACCCAAGAGAATGTATTCTTTTTCACGTGTCAGCCCTTTGATTATTTGAACAGAGAAACCAGTAAGACTTGAGCTGAGTACTCTGAGCCATTTCTCATATGTGAGGGTTTTGAGTCTCACGTCATCATGCTTGCCTTTCCTATCCAGGTTCTTGGCATCCCTTTTAAGATCAGATGTTATCCAGAAATGGACATATTGTTCAGAATGTGGTCGGACTACATTAGAGCAAAAAGGTTCACGTGTTCTACATACAGTTTTCTTAATGCAACTTGAGATTGCGCTTACATTCTGAAAACTGTAATTGTTTTTGTATCAGGAAATAAAGAAGGTGATTTAAAAAAACAAGTTCATTTATTAAAGATTTGATTTGAGTATCTTTATTGATTATTGCATAGAATGAACTGATATGGCTTTGAACATTTTATTTCCCCTGATGCTTAATCATGGAATACATTGTGGCTCTCGGCCAAAGAGAGAATGTCGGTCTTCTTGAATCCATTCTGTCTCACTACTGCTTGTGTAGTCTCGACCCTTGCGAACCCTCAGATAAAGCAGTCTTCTTCTTTACTCCCAGGTCTTCCCGCTCTAAAAAAAAACTCTTCCTACGGATGAGGACTGTGACTCGTTGGCTCTCTGTGATCCTATGCAGAGGATGAATTGTGAAGTTGACAGCCTGCCTGAGAGCTGCTTTGACAGTGGCTTGTCCACCCTGAGAGATTCCAACGAGTACGACTCGGAGGTGGAATACAAACACCAGAGGGCATTTCAGAGGTCACATGGCACTCAGGAGGGCTTTGCCGGTGATGCTTCAGACACAGATGTAAGTCCCAGAAATCACTACTTTCCTAGGCCTTATCTTCGCTGGAGCTCTGTCACCCTGTTTGATTTTTATCTGTCATGGGGATCAATTTTAAACATTATACATATGAAACATAGTAGAATTTTTTCCTTCCTTTACCAGATTAGGGAGAAATTCTCATAGATTGCCATTTGCGGCCACTCTATTTCATAACATCATTGACTGTAGATTCAGCTGTATATTTTTCTTCTCTTTAATCTATGATGTATATGTGTAATGAGAAACTTTGTTTTTTAATAGCTAACTTTTTTTTAAAAAAAAAAAAAAACAGGTTCCTGATATAAAGGATGAGGAGACGTATGGTGCAGAAGGTATGGCTTCTGCCTTAGACTGGAAGCCCCAGGGGTCTGTTAGTGAAGGCAGCATCGTTGGCGTTTCAAGAAAGCCCATCTTGGCACTTTCACCCCAGGTAGGTAGTTCCTGAGACACTTTTATTCATGAACACTATTAACTTTCTATGCCATGTAACTTATTAGGAAGAAAACTGGCATTCTCTTTGTCACCCACTGTGGCTCTTTTTCCCTAGACAGACATGGTGGATGATAACCATAAATCTTCCAGCTCACAGAAGGCTTACAAGCTTGTGCTTGCTGGGGATGCTGCAGTGGGGAAGTCTAGTTTCCTCATGAGACTTTGCAAGAATGAATTTCGAGGAAACACAAGTGCCACCCTGGGTACGATTCCTTTTTCAGTTATTAATGGGGGAAAGGGCCTTCTTTAGCTTGATTTTATTTTCTTTAAGAATTATATACACAGATACACAAATCTCTTTCTCTCTCAATATCTCTTTTCTTTTTCTCTCTGTACGTGTGTGTGTCCTTGTTGACAGGACGGTCCTCCTCTGTTCTGGCTAAGTCTCAAATTTAGGAAAAGAAACCTCACAAAGGACAGAGGTATCTAATTAACCAATCAGATCAACCACACCAAGTTTAGAGCCTGAGGTGACCGATCCATTCATTCAGCAAACATTTCTGGAGTCCTGCTATGAGCCAAATACAGTTGTAGGTGTCAAGGATACACGATGAACAGAGACAACTAAATGTCAGCCCTCAAGGAACTTAGACCCAAAGGAGGAAAATGGATGAAAAACAAATAAAAAATATATGAGGTTTGAGGAGAGGTGCAGTTTTACACAGCATGGCCAGGAAAGCTTTTCTGATAAGATGTCATTTAATGTTGATAAAGTGACATTATTGATGGCTAGTTTGTTATTATAGTCAAAATCATAGCTAGAGGTATGCTCCCCCCACTTGCTCTACAATGGTATTCAAGAGTGATCTCTTTCAGGACAAAGAAAGAAATAGTGTCCTGATTTCCCAGGTTTGCATAATAATCAGTAAAGCGTTGGAGATATGCAAATTATCATTTATTTTTCTTCTTCATCTAAACGTTTGTATTTTGTTAACCATTAGAACAGTTTGATTACCCTCTTCACAATGGACGTTTTTGTAAATTTATGGTTCTCTGTCAGGCCCTTCAAGATAACAAAGCTGAAAGTTCACTTCAATTTGACTCATAAAAAGACTGCAGTTTTTGGTACAGTTGCTAGAGAGCATGTGTATGTACATGTCACATAAACATATACATGAATATATACATACACACATATAGACACATATTTATGTACATGCACATACACAGATACAACTGAGTTCATCTAATTACATGGACAAATAGAACATAAACTTTCCCTTTATCCACAGATTAAATATTTCCCCAAGTCAGCTGGCCTGCAGACGGTGCATCTGTGCACACATATGTGGTCTGACTTATAATTAGTAAGTGAAGGTCACTCTCCTTGAAGACCATGTCGATTCCTCTCTACCTCACTGGGCTGTTTGCCTTATTGGCTTTTGTTTCATCTGAAGAGGGCTTGAAGGTAAAAACCAGTGGAATTATTTGCATCATGTTCTCCATGTTCTCTTGAATTTCTTTTCAGGAGTCGATTTTCAAATGAAAACTCTCATCGTAGATGGAGAGCGAACAGTTCTGCAGCTTTGGGATACTGCTGGTCAGGAGAGGCAAGTGCTTTTCATGATGCTTTGGGCTCTGCTTACGTTTGCACACACAAGCTTTGTAGGATGCTTGGCTTGCTTTTTTTTATTTTTATAATTATATAATTATAATAGACTATATAATTCTATCGTATATTAGAATTTCAGGAATACTCTTCCCCACGTCCTTTCCTCCTTCACTTATCTTGTCAGTTGTGTAAGAAGAGGATCTTAAACTTCCATTGAGCTGGTGTTCAGCTGAGAAAGAGAGTGCCCTCTCCTAACGGAGTTTAGATGAGACAGCACCCCTGAGTGCAGTGTCAGTGTGAAGAGCTACTTAGCTGGGGGACAAGAAATGGTAGAGTAGAGAACCCGTCAGTTCTCCTTCATTCAAAGGCAGAGGCACAAACTAAATAGCAGACTCGCATCTGGTGACAGTATCTTACCTCACATTCATTGCCTGTGACCAGAGCATTAAGCATGGGTTTTAGTATTGCCCAAGTCTTTGGGAGCAGAATCTATCCAGTTGTTCAGTAAGTAAATATGGGGTACCCACCTACCTCTGTACCAGGTGCCATTTAGGCTACTAAGATTCCACGGTGAATAGACACAAATACCTGCCCACATGGAGCTCATATTCTCTAGCAGACTGGGAGCCTCAACATTTAAAAATATTTGTGGTTGACATAACCCCATTTAAGATACTATAAAATATCACACTAGGTTTAGCATTAGGATGTACATGCCGAGGTCTGCTCCTCCCCTGGTGAATGCCCCACCCTTGTGTATGTAAAGCTTCTGGTACTCCTGGTGTTCCACAATGTTAGTTCTTCTTTCCCCCACCTACAGTACTACCCCCTCTCCCAGTTTTTCTCTAATGCGCATTTCTTCCATCCTTCTCTGTGTCCCACACGTGGGTTCTGGTAGCTTGCTGCCAAGACTGAAATTTTTAGAAATTATGCTTGCAACCTTGTCCTGGTTATGCTTTCGGGTTTATTGACATTCTTGGGATTGTTTGGTGGAGCAAATGATTGGCTTTTTAAAAATCAGTGTCCCAGATTCTCATTCTGTTACTTTTTAGTGGGTCATTCTAGGCCTTGGAGATGACAATTTCATGGTGATATGTTGCCATCAGATTCTTATCAATTGGGGCTTAGTAGAGAAGATGAGAAAGAAGTGATCATAAAAGAGAAAGAATGAAGCAGCACCAAACTGACTGATTAGAACGGTTACCTAAGCGCTTTCCTCTTTTCCAGGTTCAGAAGTATTGCCAAGTCTTACTTTCGAAGGGCAGATGGTGTTTTGCTGCTGTACGATGTTACGTGTGAGAAAAGCTTCCTAAACGTACGAGAATGGGTAGATATGATTGAGGTAAGAAGTCAAAACAGAGAAACAGAAAATTACACAGGGCAGTTGCAGGCCATCTTCGAAAATGCTAGTGCTCTTCTTCATTGACGTGAACGTGATATGAAGCCACTTATTCAAGCTATCAAGAAGAAATGGATGTCAGAGGCAGAGTTGCCAATGGCACTCGGCAGTATTGGTCTCTCTCAGTAGCTGGGCAAGTTCTCACAAAGCCAATGACATGACTAACAGAAACTTCTGAGAATAAAACTTCTGGGTTTTCTTAACAGATAAAATCAGAACCCCAGTAGAAACGAATAAAAATGCAGGTAACCTGAGAAGCGGCAGCTCTTTCAAACAAGAGTGTGGTATGGCTGGCATGCCATATGGTTGAGTGTGTAAGGGGCTTCCCCATGTACTAGAAGTACAGGTGAAACACCATCCAGTGTGAGCACATGTGAAGCCCAAATTCTGTAGTGACTGTGTTCTTAGCCCTATCCTGGTAGTGATTTGTGTCTTTACATATCTCAAGTTACAACTGAAACACCGATTTGTATTTTTAGCATGTGTGGCAACTATCTGTTCTTTTTTTGATCAAATGAGATGGTGTTTTCACCTGAGGAGCTTTGAAATCCTTTCATTTCACATTCAATAATTTTTAAAAGTGGGAAATGATTTGACCACAGTTAGTGCCAGAAGTTATTAATCAACATAAAACTATAGTATAAGCTACAGTTCAGCATACTCTCTTGGAAAAAAAAAAAAAAGCCAAAACTAGTGGCTAATACAAATTTTCAAGTAAGTCTATTATCTGTAATTTTTAACAGGCATTAAATGCAGGAGTAGCTAAACAGAGAACTAATTACTCTCTGATCTCAAGTTTGCTTCTAGAGTCTTCGGTTAGACCTATTTCATGCCCTGTAAAAAACAGAATTAATATTCTCTTTCTAACTAAAGAAATAATATGAGAAGTGACATTGTAATTGGCAGTGATAAATGTGTATTTTAGTTTACTGAAATTTCATGACTTAATAAAAGTGTTGACATTTATATAATATTTTTGTTTCGTAAAATTTTCCACATTATAGTCATCCCTGTAACATCTTAGAAAGGAAGAAACATAGTGTTATTTTCACTTATTATGAGAAACCTGAGGCATAGAAAGTATCTGACACTAGCTTATAGTTACTTAGAGGTTAGGGCTGGAACAGGGGCTAGAATTGGACCGCCTGATTCAACATAGTTGCTCCCTTGATAAAGCACCAGACTGAGCAGCAGATAACAAGAAGAAGCTTTTGAGGTCAAGAAAGGAATTCCTAGGTACAGTTAGTGCATAGAAGAGAAACATCTACTCCGTGGGAACAAATGGTCCTCCCTGCGATAAAGCAATGAATCTAGAGAATAATGGATAATCCCAACTAACTCAGACACATGAATGTTTGAAATTATAGAAAAACTTTATTGTTGAAACTGTTGGACATAGTATTAATTTTAAGTCTTTGGATTATGCTCAAGAAAAGGAGGCATAAACAGCAAGGTAGTCCCAGTGTTGAAATAGCCCTTGGTGACCAGCCGTAGTATGTGCCAGGAGCCCCACTGTCATGATCTTCTGAGCACCTACACAGGGTAAATGACCTTTTCAGCTATTGGTAATACCTTTCACAGGATCTGAAGAGTAAGAAAACTGCATTCAAGATGAATTCTTGAATTTGTTATATAGAAAAAATTAGAGACCACTTGGCATTTGACTTTCATATTAGAAAAAAATGAGCATGATAATCCTTTACCATGGGTCACCCTTTCCAATTTGAGGAATTCTATAGGGACAATTTATGTGGCTACTGTAAATATGGGTAGAAATTAATGATGTGATCATTGGGATAGGCCAGAGGATTGAGAAGTAGAATGTCAGTGGTGAATGGACCCTCTGAATTAATAATTAATACACTTTGATCGAAAACCACTGGGTTATAAAATCTTGTGATAAAATTAAGGGTAAAATAAAATTATGGCCATTAACTTATCTGTCGTGAATAATTCGTTGATTGACTATTTGGGTAAATGTTGAATAGAGACATTTGAGACATGATCTCCTCCCGACTTTGACACATTCAAAAATATTTTGGGGTACCTCTGTGTAGGTGTTATATGGGTGCTTGGGATATATCCGTTAATAAAATAGAGCTTGTACTTTAGTGTAGGAGAGATAATAGCAACAAATAAATTAAATAGAGTGATAGAAAGTGATAAATGTTATAGAAACAAAAGGCAGGGCAGTGGGCTGCAGTTTTCATTAGTGTGGTAGGGCAGCCTCATGAGAAGGTGATATTTGAGTCAAGACTTGAAGGAGGTATTTACCTGTGTGACTTTGGGAAGTCATTTAGACGCTCAGATTCTTGGTTTACTTAAGTGAATATTTGATTAGTGGCTTCCAAATGACGTCCCCTTAGATCCTGAGCAGACTGCCAAAGAACACAATTAATTAACACATTGATGGGCGGTTCGGGTAGGTTTGGGGAGGGCCTTTTACTCCCTTCTCTCCTCCACTCTTACCACACTCTGATACCTCCAGTTAGAGGAAAATGGTCTGAAGAGAAAGGAAGTCAAATGTAACGTCGTTATTTTTGAGGCTCTTGATTCTGTATCAGATACAGCACCAAACTGAGTGAGAATCTGGGTGTCTTTAGGCACCACAAAGAGTAATCTCCACATACCTTAGCCAGGTCTGCTGCTTCTCTTGTTCAGGAACCAGGAACCTGTTTTCCTGTGCTAGCCAGGTTATCTTCTCCTGTTCTCATCAGAGCCTGCTGAGGTGGCACATGCCTTTACTGATCCCTCCATTTTAGAGATAGGGAAATTGAGGCAGAAAAATGAGGAGACTCACCTGGTTTCACACAGTCTGTGTACAGCGAGGGGGTTCGAGGGGTCCGGTATCTAACTCAGCTCTGCCCTTCACATCACATATTCCGCCAGCTCCGCTGAGAATGTGAGATGGTGTGACAGTTTGAATATGCTATTTTGGAAGCGTTATCCTTAGAAGATGTTACTTTTAATGATTTGTAGTTGACTCCTCCTAAGAAAAATGTTACTTTGCTTTTGTCGTTAATCGGATAGCAGTGAGTATGGGACACTTTCAAACTCCATTTTGGTCCCATCATAGCTGAGGGATACTTGTGTGTTTTGTATCTGGGATAATGAAGTTGACTTGTAATCACTGTTGCTTGGAGGCAAAGTTGTGCAAAATGAGGTTTTTACCACTGTCAAATGCAATCCTGTGGTCATGCTTTCCTGAGTTTATATAGGTTTGTATAGTATGAAGGGGGATGCAGGCAGTTTGGACCCTAGCCTGGGCCCTTACCAGTTCCCATGTAACCTCTTTGAGTTTCAGTGTTCTTACCTGGCAATGGGAAAATGTTTGCCTCTTTTTAGAGATTTTAAGGTTAAAAGATATTATCAGTGCATCATGTGGCACACAAGGGGCATTCAGAAATGATACCTACAGCCATCATTGTTGTCACTTGTCCAACATTTGATGTATGCACACTTTTTTTTCTTTTCTTTCTGGTAGGATGCAACCCGTGAGAGTATTCCTATCATGTTGGTAGGAAACAAGGCTGATCTTCGTGACACTGCTGCTGCTGAGGGACAGAAATGTGTCCCAGGATACTTTGGAGAAAAACTGGCAATGGTAAGAGTGAGAATGGTTCCAAATTGGAAAAGGTCTTTCACTTTTGTCTACTTTCGCTTAAGAGGTTCTCTGACAATTCTCCACCCTGTTCAGTGGGGCTTCAGGCCTTGTTATGCAGGCAGGACTCCAAGTGTCCCTTACCCTTCATGAGTATAAGGGTTAAATCCCTCATAGAACTAAAACGGCCCCTGGTCATTTCCCCGCACTGAGTATCACTGACAAAGAGGAGCCAGAACTGGCCTGTCTTCCTCTTCACTCTCACCTAGTTCCTGGAATCCTTCTCTAGTCCCAGAATCTAGCTAAAGGAAGAAGAATGGGCGTCCTATTTTGAAAAGATGGGTTTGGTTCCAGAGGATTACAGTGCCAAGGGGCAGAAGATAGTGCCTGGGTGGAAGAGACTCAGAAGACCTGTTTTTTTTTTTGGAAAATTTATGTTCAGTTGTAAT